ATGCTTCTCTCGAACCGATCGAGATCCCTCATACTGTCGTAGATCATACGGTTTACTAGACGAGGTACAGGCCACAAATCCATGATTGACTGCTGGGATTTACCTGGAAGAGGATTTTCAATTTCGAAATGAAATGATACGAACAATAATTAAAGACTCTCGAAATTAACTCACAGAGTTTGATAACTGTTGACAGGAAGATTGATCCAAAAGACTACTGGCAACTGCTCTGCGGGGCTCTTTATGTACCCGCAGCAACGGCCTTCGAGAACCTTATGGAACGTTCGTTGTTTGTTGTTTCGTCGGCGCCTCGCTCTCTCTCGCTCAGCCCCGCCCCTCAGCTGAGTCATCGCCGGCGCAGCGAGGGGAAGGGGCGGGGTGAGAAGGTTCGCGAAGGTTCTGGAAGAATCTCCCCGAACGGTATATAAACAGCTCCGAGGGTAGCGGTTCCAGCACACTAAGCTTTACTACCCAGTAATCGACAATGTCTCTCTGCATTCTTCCGTTTGCTTCGGAGGCGATCCTGCCTCGTCTTCTGGATGACGTCTTCAGCGAGCTCGACGACGCCTTCAATCACTTCTATCAGATCGAACAAATCTCTTCTCCTCCTTCAACAAAGAAGTTAGGGAGGAAAAGCCCCATGGGCCAATTGTACAAGGTTGGTAAGAAGTTTCGAAGGAATTTCTCAACTTACCAAATTCTCAACCTAAGAAGTAAAACCATTGCAGGTCAGCGATGACGGGTCCAAGTTGGCGATCTCATTGGACGTGTCGAAATTCAAGCCAGATGAGTTGAATGTGAACATCGATGGTCGAACCCTGACTGTGGAAGGCAAACAAGAAGTAAAGGAAGGCTCGAGTTATACCGCCAGGTAAGTACCGTACCTCCTAACATCTAGGTGGGCTAATTCTGCTAATAATTTCTGAGTTCCTTCTTTTACAGGTCATTCCTTCGCCAGTGGACTGTTCCAGAAGGTGTCGACGCCGAGCAGATTCGATCCGCTCTTACCGAAGATGGTCATTTGGCCATCGAAATGCCGAAACTCAAACCGTCCATCACCTACAGGAGCATTCCCATCCAAAAGGCAATTGACAAGAGCGGATAGAAACCAATTATTGTATTGTTTCTCTCATTGTCACTGACGATTGTCATTCAATTCGGGTAGCCTCTCAGGAGGCGATCTTGCGTAGTACTGTATTTGTAAACATTGTTTATTGTAGTTTCCAGAGTTAAATAAACCTTCGAAGAAAAGATTCTCATGTATTTTGCCAAGTAATCGGTCCGTTGTTCATCGATCTTCCCGAGACACGCCACACATACGTCACACAGTCACTTTCATGTAATATTGGCTTGACAACTGCTACTGCTGTTCACTACTTTGCTTTGCTCCATCAGTAGGAATTCTTCCGGGTCTAAGGACCTGGGCAACATGTGTATCTAAGAATATTGGGTGGATTCAGTTCAAATTAAGAGGTTCATTTAATTGGGAAGCCCCCGCGGATGTCCAGAAGGACAACCTACATCGCTCAACCCGGTTTTTGTCAAATAAATTTCCCAGAAATTCTCACTAAAGCCGAAAATACATGGCTACTGTACGATCAACGAGAAACATTTCCCACTTCCCGTCATCTAAATAAGTAAGGGATGAGGGCGTTGATAAATCGGAATGGGCTTATCCCTTCCACTGGTATGAGCCCCATCTTTGGTATGGGCCCTTTCTCCTGAGTTCCGAATAGTCATGGCGTCTTGGATATGTATGGTGCCTACGCAGCAGACAGCGACTATTCGAATCAGTGCTCGTATTTCACTTGTTTACGCAATACACTGCATCGTGTTTACTTGTTTATCAGTAGCAACGAGCAATAACAATAATATTCTGTAAAAGCCAACTGTAAGTGGCAGTCGTTTGGCCTGCAAATTACTAGCAATCACAGGAACAATAACATAACTAGCCCCCATTCACTGCAAATCAATGGCCATCTCAATTGGAACGTTTCTGATGGCCGTCCTTGGTTTCGGCACTTCGATGACTAGATGTCCGTCTTCAGTAAGAGTGGATCGTGTTTGCTCAATGTCGACGCCTTCCGGTAGAGTCCATTGGCGGAAGAAGGACCTGTAAATAAAATCAATATGAATTTTCTTGAAAATTAGGTCTAAAAGGGAGCTCGGGAGTCCATGAGACTAACCTGACCGAATAGCTCGGGCCTTCGTTCCTCTCTTGTTTACCTTCAACAGTTAGAGTCCGGGAATCGATGCCTACCTTCAGCTCATCTGGTTTGAATTTTGAAACATTCAGTGAAAACGACAACTTCGGTCCTTCAGAGCTAATCTGCAGGGTTTTATAGGCAGCCCATTTAGAAAGTCTCAAATCTCAAAACTTCCACACACCTGGTTGGAACTGCAGGTAGTCGCTAGTTCTTCAATACTCCCCTCTTGAGAAGAACATGGACTTGTGGCTTCTTGCTCGAATTGCTCGATCAGATTGGCGACATCTTCGAGGAGACCGGACAAAAGTGTCGTGTCAGTGGTCCATGGTAGAAGACAAATAGACATTAGGGACCGTAGGCTGCAGGAAGGTTCAGGCTCAATGACCTATAGTGGCATCCCCAGAATTGCTTATATACTGTCCAGAGGGACCTCTATAGAATCATATGGCCCCTCCCCTTCCTTCGCCTCATTGTGATGAGACAACTGGACTGGGAGCTGTGGGGACGAGGAAGGCGTCGGGAAGAATGGCATACAGCGAATGTTCTAGACGATTCTCGAAGATCTTTGCGTTGGTATGTGGGTACACTCGGTTAAAGGCTGTTAGAAGGGCCTGGACATCGTCGAAAGGCATTTTCAGTTGTTACCTCCTCTCAGACTGTCAGAAAGTGACAATGTGTGGATAAGAGACCGTTACAGCGCGAAACCGATCAATACCTATCTACTGCATGGATTTCATGATCCCGAATGTGCCTAAGAAAGGACGAAAGAATAGCGCGGAAGGTAGGACGTCCAGCGAGAACCGATCAGAGTTTGGAAAGTGATGCTGGCTTCGATTCGCATTCGAGTGCGACTTCCAGCAGCGCCCAGAGGTTTGTTTTAAATGCTAGAAGAATTCAGAAAAGAAATTTTGCCTTGACCTTCATTTTTTGCTGCGATCTACAGTATCCGATCACTCGTGGTGATCTACAATCGATGCCGGCGGTCCCTCGTTTCACCGTCGCCAACTCCTGCCGTCAGTGCTCTCTCCATTGCCGTCGTCTCTGATTTTTTGCCAGTCCCTGGTTTTAGATGAGGGTAATCGCCTTTTTTTCGCCCATCGATGACAGAAACTGAGGTTGTGATTTATTTGGAAAGCTTGGGAACCAATAACTGGTCATTCTTGAAAGCCTAGCTTGAAAATGACTGAGCAGTTCTCTGAAAAAGTTTACTTGGCAATTCCTGTGTTGCAGAATTTTTCCAAAATTTTAGGGTCAGAGTCTAGGGGTACTGAGTAAGAGATTAGTGCTCATCCTTGTCATTCGGTGCCCTTCTATGATTCCACATTGGCCCTTTACGGGGTCCCATGGTTAAGAAGTGCTTGTAATTTCGAACCCACGCGCTTACTCATTAAGTCCACGTCTGTAGAGTTTCCCTTATTCAGGGTGTAATTAAAGCAGTATGCAGCACTGACAAAAGCCAATCCACCATTAGAACCATTTTAGCCTGATGTTCGATACGTAAAGTGTTGCAGACTACAGTACCTTCCACATATTTGCATTAGATAAGATGTGTTGAATAGGACGAATTTTTCTTCAAATTTTATTAGACACCATTATTTACACAAGAAATAATATATACAATCACTGTACTGGGAGAGATTATATTTCGTGACAGTAGAGAAGTGAATGACCCTTATTACTGACAGAAAGCAATACTACAGCAAGATTCTATCCACTACGATCAATCGCTTTCTGGATCGGAATGTTCCTGGATGTGATGGCCGGTTTAGGCTTCGGCACTTCGATGGCCAGGTGACCATCTTCAGTTAGGGTGGATCGAATCTGCTCGACATCTACATCTTCTGGAACAGTCCACTGGCGAAGGAATGACCTGTAAGAGAATTGTTTCAGACTATGTCTGTAAAATAGGAAACAGATAGATGTTCGGAGCTATGAGACTTACCTTGATGTATAACTCGAATCTTCTTTCACTTCTTGTTTGCCTTCAACAGTCAGGGTTCGGCCATCGATGTTCACTTTCAACTCATCTGGCTTGAATTTCGACACGTCCAATGAGATCGCCAACTTCGAACCGTCATCGCTGACCTGTAAGAGTTCTACTTATTAGGTTGAGAAATACTGGAGCCAAAAGAAAATTCCTGAGCTTCTCACATACCTTACTTACTTGGCCCATTAGGCTTTTTCTCCAAGACCTTTTCCTTGTAGGAGGAGAACAGAGTCGCTCAATCTGATAGAACTGGTTGAAGGCGTTGTCCAGCTCGCTGAAGACATCGTCTAAGAGGCGAGGGANAACTTTCGATCACTGGACCTCTGCCAGACGACAGAGCTAGATGAAATTCATACCGTACCAATAGAGGATCTTTACGGTGTTGCACAGGAAATAACTGGCAGAAAATCGA